CGTCACACTTTCTCTCTCACTTCCTCTCTCATTTTCACACTAACTCCCTGACCTCCCCCGCTTTCTATTCTACAGTAGACACTTTCCCTCTATCTCTTTTACCCGCTTTAATTTCCTCTTTGTTTCTCATGCATTCTGATTTTCCAAACACTTTTTCTATCTTACTTTATTCCTATCGCTATCACACGCATGCGCTTTAGAAACTCGTAGTTCTCTGCATTAAAACATTACGAAGTTCACGATCCTACAGGAAACAAAATAATATACAACTCTAACTGAAGTGAAACTGGAGTTACTAGGTAATATCTAGTTCGCGCGGTCGATGAGGGCCTGCTTTTTGTCGGCCATCTCTTTTGCTTATTTCCGAAATCACTGGCAAAAAAGAGCGGGAATACTCCGCCATGCCTACAGTGACACGATTCTCTATTTTTCGACCAATATGATCTAATAATGCGCGAACAACACTGCCTCCACTACTTCCACTACTTTCTTTCCCTTTGGACTTGTCTCCTCCTCCCCCATCTTTCCCTCGCTCTCTTCCCCTTTCTTTCTCTCCTTCACGTGATTCCGCTCCTCTTCCTGCAACTGCCTTCTCTTCTTCTCGTATCATTTGCTTCCCAGCTCCTGCCATATCTCCTCCTTTTTCCAACTCTCTTTCTTTCCTCATTCTTACTTCTGGTCCTTCCTCCTCTTTGCTTCTTATTCCTTTTGCTCCTCCTCTTATTTGTACTGCCCCCTCTCTCACACTTGCTGCAACATCTCCGTCTTCACTCACTCGTTCTGTTTCCTTTTGTACACCTCTTTCTCTTCTATCTGGGACTCTCATTTCAAACTCTCCCATTCTTTCTGTCTCCTCGTCGCTTTTTTCTTCATTCCTCCCAGGGTTTTCTTGCAGCCATTCATTTACAGGTTCTCCAATTTCGATCACAGGCGTCTGATCCCCGTCATCACCAACACTCTGACAATCATTCTCATCATCCTTCCGCTTTTTCGTCTCCCCACTGCCACATACGTCACCACTGCAATGCACATCAACGATGACACCGTTTGCAAAACTGACGTTGTTTTCTGCAGTTCCGTCGACGCTCGTCAAATTTACACTGCTGTTTTCGGCGACGATATTTTCTACATCGTTAAAATTGTTATCGCCGACGTCGGATACAGTTGTCTCTCCGACACCATCGTTAACGCCATTGAAAACAAAACTGCTGCAACTACTGCTTCTGCTGCTGTCGCCATTAACAGCACTGCTACTGTAACTACTCCCGCTGCTATTAATGACACTACTGCAACTGCTACTGCTTCCACGATCGCTATTTCTTTTTTCGCTCGTATTTTTTACTTTGGTCAAACTATTTGAACTTCTGCGACCACTGGCAGGGAAAAAACTCCAGTCGTTCACTGGTGTCCGGGATCCTTCCTCCTCGTCGTCGCTGGTATGGACACTCTGTCGACCTTTCCAGAGTCGGATATTTCTTTGGAGAATTTCCTCGTATGATTTGTCACTGCCTTCCATCCGTTCCTGGCTATTGTCCATCCCATAAGATCGACTGCTAGTCAAAATAGACACAGAGTGAGGCCGATGACGAAGCTGAACTCGAGAAAAATTAGGTGGCCAGCTTTGGTCCATCGTGTCGCTACTGTCCAGGGCAATGGGTCCATCTGCAAGAAAGAAATAAAAATAATTGAAATTGATTAACAAAGAATCCAAAATTGGGGGTTGGAGTGATTCGAATACACATGAACACACACACACATATATATATATACACACATATATATATATATATATATATATATATATATATATATATGTATGTTTTGAGCAATAACAAATTTAAAAATTAAAATTTTCAGACACACTGGGGTTATTATTTCAGTTAAGTTCCTCTACTAGTTTCGGCCAGCATGGCCTCATCAGGAGAAAAAACATCCTGCTTGTTAGTAGCAGTGAACTACGGGAATGGATGACTTTCTGAAGAAAATGAACTTTATCTGTAGTTTTCATTTTTTTATCGTTAATTTTGGTCAGTCCTTTTGTTGGTCAAACGGCCTCTTTTTAGTTGTTTTTAAGATAAAGGCTCTGGAGATTCATGCGACTCAGAATTCCTTTGGTAATTTTGACAGTATAATTGGGGATGTGTCTATGTTAAGTGTATGTTATCATTTGTTCTTTGGGAATGTGTATGACGTGTGTAGGTGTATATATTAGTATGGGTGTTTGTATAAGTGTGAGACCTCAACACCTCTGCAAGCATGTCTGTCTTGTGTGGAGGAGAAATGTAGGTAGGGCTTGATTCATAGGGTTATAAATTCTGTCTATGTTGTTAAATTTGTGATTAAGCCAGTCTGGACGAAGTGTTTTGAGGCGCAAAATCCATTTGTCTTCATGATCCTCTAGTATTTTTCTAATGTTATCTTTTCTGTCTATTTCTATTTTTTTCAATTATAGTGAATTTGGCATGACTTTTAAAATGCGGAAATGTTCTACAGGTAATAATCTTCGATTTGATCCGATTCCCATAATTATTAATTCTGTAGTGAAAGGGCGATTCAGATTTTCCCACATATTGTTTCTGGCATAGTGTGCATTCTAATAGGTAGATTATGTGACGACTTCTACAGTTAGAGTTGTGATAGATTAATTTCACCTTTAAAAACTGAAATAAATATTAACATACTCTTAGTTCTTAGTCTATTTTGCTTAATAAAACTCCAACTATCCAACTATTATTTTATAAATAAAACATTGCATTGTTTTACTACTGTTAAAACTTGTAATTTGAAAAATTGAAAAAATGCCCATTTTTGGACTTTAAATCTAGTTTCTATTAAAAAATATATTAATTTTCAATTTTTTTTAAATTTCCGTTCGATATTTCCGGAAGGAATTGGAATGCATCTAATATCCTTAAAGCATTAGAATTATTTCAGTTTATGTATCTATTTTATAATTTATGAAAAGTAATGATTTTATATCCGTATTAAAGCTAGGCATATGATAAGATTTAAAAAAAAACAATTGGTTCACTGATTTATTTAATTGTGTTTCTCTAACAGTTCACAGACATGAAAAATCAAAATCAAAAAACTGACATCAAAGGTGAGAAAAAACTGTGGATTCACTAAATTCACATAATTCAACCCCATATCAAGCTCTTTAAAAATGTTCAAATCTTTTTCACACCTTTTGCTCACGTCTTGTAAGTGGGGTTTATCATCACCAGCTGACAGCCCGGTTTGGAGGATTTTTTTTTTATTGCTGGGTGGCTGGCTTTGAGACAGCCATATCAAAGACAAATTGCCTTCATTCGAACGCTATCTTCTTCCTTATTGGTGCTTATTTATTTATTTTTGTTTTGTTTTGTTTTGTAAAAATTATTGAAATTATGCTATTTCTTTTTTTTTATCTATTGCTTATCTATATATCTGTATTACTCCATACCTGTGTTCGAGTTCTTCTTTATTGGTTCTACCTTGGACTATCACCGTGGTACAAGGAACCGGACCATAACAAGTGGTGACGTGGAAACCCTAAAAGGGTAATACGAAGCGTGCACAGGCTACAGAATATCAGGTTACACACAAAAAAATACGTTAACATGGAAGATTTTAAGTCAACCATTATGGAACTTATCAAAATCCAATTTGAACAGCAACAAAGGTACGAACAGAAACATCTGGAATTGCAAGAATTATTGTTACGTGCAATGACAAATAAGGAGCAAAAATCCGAGAACGAAGCACATGCTATTTGGAGTAATATCGAAGATTTCAAGTACGCACCCGACGAAGATAAAACTTTTGCAAATTACTTCCGAAGGTACGAAGATCTATATGATTTTGACTGAAAAGATTGGTCAGATGCACGTAAAGTACGCCTATTAATAAGAAAATTAGACACAGGCGAATATACCAAATTCGTAGATTATATCCTTCCCAGAAAAACAAGCGAGTTAACGTTCAAAGAATCCATAAAACTGCTAACGGATTTTTTCAGCCATAATACTTCACTATTCTATAAAAGATGGAAATGCTTGAAACTTACAAAAAAGGACAGCGAAGATTACATAACTTTCGCATCCATTGTTAACAAATATCGTGACGACTTCAGATTATCGGAACTCAGCGCTGACAACTTCAAATGCTTAATTTACGTCCAAGGTCTGGTTTCAACCAAAGACGCGGAAATGAGACGCAGAATACTTACTAAATTGGAAAATGAACAAGATCTGACACTTCAAAAACTAGCCGAAGACTGCCAGAGATACATCAGTGTGAAGAAAGACTCAAAAGACATAGAACAAGCTGGCATAGCACAGGTACGCAAAGTACGAAGGCAAACAAATTTTCCCTCCTTACAAACAAACGAACCGATTTTCCCGCCTCAAGAACAGTTAAAACAAAATTTTCTAATTATAATCAACATAAAAAAACTACCACCCAGTCCGTGCTATCGTTGTGGGTCTTGGCATTGGGTTAAAGACTGTACATATCGTTTTAAAACTTGTCTATCATGTAAAAAACATTGGCCACAAAAGTTCTCATTATTGGTATAGAAGAGAAAGCAAAAGCAGAATAAGAATTACGAGGACTGACCAAGCAGATGAGACTAATATAAGAAAATATGTACAAGTGGAAATGCAAAACAGAAAAGTTAGGTTATAGCTGGATTTTGACTCAGACTTAACTATCATAAACCTAAAACATGGAGAAAACTGAACAAACCTGTCGTGTTAAAAACGGATAAAATTGCTAGATCAGTTACGGGGAGAAAGATAAAATTCGAGGGTGAAGTAATTACAAACGTAACATTTAATGGAATGACGAAAAAAGTAAAAATGTATGTCTTAAGAAATACCGAAAACCTATTCAGAACAGACTGGATGCAAAAATTCGAATTGTGGGATTTACCTATTAGTACGTACTGCCAAAATGTAAAAAGCTTATCAACCGAGGCAGACAAATTAAAAAGAAAACTCAAAACGAGTTTCCCCGATGTATTTTCAATAGGTCTCGGAAGATGTAAGAAAATGGCAGCTAATATGGAAATAAAGGAAAACGTTCAAACTGTTTTCAGGGAAAAATAAAGAAGCGTACCGTTTGCGTAGAATTAACTAGACTCGAAAATACGGGCATATTGAAAAAAGTAGAATACAGCAAATGGGCCGCACCGACGGTCTACGACAAAATCAGATCAGCATTCGATAAATTACTACCAAGTTAAACAAAACAAGTAACACAGTCCTACGCACCAAAAAGAAAATTCCTCCCAGGAGAAAAAGTTTTTTTAAGGCATATAAAAATAATACCTCTTACTGGGAGCAAGGCATAATTAAGAAAAGAATTGGTAATATGATGTACATAGTACAAGGAAAAAAATTCTCACACAGAAGACACGTAAACCAAATAAGGAAGAGACCGTTACAGGATGCTAACGGTCCACCTCAAGAAGAGGTATTGGACACGATTTTCGACACATTCGATATAAAAAGACCGCAAACAATGCCAGAACCAAGAAAATCGTCAAAAAAAAGAAAATTCACAGAACCTTTGGAAATAGATCCAAAGAAAAAAGATATTAAAAAAAACCCTGCTACGCAAAAGCTTCGGAAGGGGGGTGTTATTGGATCTTGCCCATAATAATAATAATGGACTATTCCATACTTAATAAATACTGCGCCTCAGGAATAAGCAAGGACTCAGTAGTTCAAGCGAAGACAGTCAGTAGTTCAAGTCGTGTCAAGAGTCGAGTCAGATGCAATCCGAATCAGAGTCGCGTTCAGACAATTACTGCAAGACATAGTGATACTGGTCGAGACTAGAATAGAATAGTGATACTGGTCGAGACTACATTGTTCTCTCTACTAAACCTGATTGTTCATACTAACACTTCTACTTCTCTGTATATATTCCTGTTTGTAATATATCTGTGTTATTCCATACCCGTGTTCGAGTTCTTCTTTATTGGTTCTACCTTGGACTATCACCGTGGTACAAGGAACCGGATCATAACAAATATGATAGATATGAAATATATGAAATATGCAAGATAGAAATTTGAATATATGAAATATGATAGATATGAAATATGAAAGATAGAAATATGAATATACGAAATATGATAGATATGAAATATATGAAATATGAAAAAGAAATATGAAATATGAATATATGAAATATGATAGATATGAAATATATGAAATATGAAAGATAGAAATATGAATATATGAAATATGATAGATATGAAATATATGAAATATGAAAGATAGAAATATGAATATATGAAATATGATAGATATGAAATATATGAAATATGAAAGATAGAGATATGAATATATGAAATATAAATCGAGAATTTATAAACAATAACAAATTTCCTATGTTTTGCACGAAAAACAGAAATATAACGGAAGAAAATTAATTTAAAGTTGCTTACTTGGATCAGAGGCCTCCTTTTTAAAATTGTCTCTTGTAGCTCAGGATTTATATATATATATATATATATATGTGTGTGTGTGTGTGTGTGTGTGTGTGTGTGTGTGTGTGTGTGTGTGTGTGTGTGTGTGCATTGATTTCTATGTTCAAAATGTGGTCATAGGAATCATCACACATGCAAACTAGCAGTTTCAGTGATAAAAGAGATCGTCAAAACAAGATGC